TCATTATTTTATGTAATTATGTACATTGATATTTTTTTAATTAACAAATAAATAAAACACAAGAACGAAAGAGCACACAGAGCATGCATGTGATTGAGACCAGGGGTTCCATCCCATATTGATTATTGATATTATGTTATCTATTTACAGTCTAAATGTGTTGTATCAGTTCTTTATTTCAGTTACATTGTGACATTTAGTGAATATTCTTTTTGGGTAGGGAGACTGGCCATCTTTCCTGTTCAGAGAATGTGGGGGAAAATGTCAGTTTGTTTCTGATTCAGATTGGTTCAATCTGAGTTAATTTTTTCAGTAATTACCTTTCTGGGTGTGTCTCAGCAAGGTGGAGCAGAGAGGGAGACGAATGCTCCTGGAGCATACCAGCTTCCATTAGGAGGGGGAATACTCTGAGGATTTATATTTAGTTATATTTACTTTTGATTGACCTTAGATTAGTTTAGTATTAATAATTTGCATGCATGTAAATATTTGTTGGATCATTTATTGTTAGGTTTGTGTAAGTAGTGTTTGTTTCTTGTTTGTCTTTTTTTTTATCACCCCTTTACCTGGTTAAGAGTTGGAACTTGCCTCAGGTATGAATGTCAGCTTCTTTGCTTCACTGTGTGTAATGGTGACCTGGAGCTCCCAAATAAACCCACCTCAACTACATTTTGTTGCCTCACTTCCTTCCTGAATGCAGTGCCTCCGCTGGTCAAAGTGACAATGCACATTGCTCTATGATTGTTTTCGTTCAAAGTGGCAGCTGTAATGTCTGCCATGGTGTCAGACTACCTGGCTTCATGTTGTGGGAAAGAGGGTGAGAACAGTCACGATGAGCGCCTTGTGCTTGGTTACTTCTTGCTTGTTGCTCCTTGGTCAGTGTTCATAGTTGATCGTTATTTACAGTCAGGGCATTGCCTCAATTGCTATGTTTAATGGTGCAGACAGTGGTGGTTTCTGACATGAGCAATATGGGCAAACACCCAGGGTGTTATCTTAGGGATGGCACGAGACCACCACGGATTGTAGCACAAAGATGGAAGATTTATATTTAATAAATTTGAAAAATTTATTAAATATAAATCTTCTAACACTGTCATGCTCTGTGTGCTCTTTCGTTCTTGTGTTTTATTTATTTGTTAATTAAAATTTATATTTTAAGATATTAAATATTTAATAAATTTGAAAAATTTATTAAATATTTAATATCTAGGTGTTTTTATGGGAATATGGACCTTTGAGATCAATTTGAGAAGCAATTTTGATCATATTTCACCATTTTATCGTGTCCTGTAGCGCGGGGCGCTGGTCTTGGTCTTGACTTGGTCTCGGGTTAGGTGGTCTTGACCATAACACTGTCATAGACATAAACATGTGGAGTTTATTTATTTACTTTAATTATTTCTAACAGACAAGAAGTAAAACTTTCCTGGGATCTAAACAGGAACTTTGGTCAAACTAAGCTGGATCTTTGGAAGAAAAACTGCTCAGGAAACGCTTCATTCCATGTTTACTTATTTAGTTCTCTTCCACACTATACTGACTCAAACTAACCAAACACAACCTGTTCCCCTCCTGGCCTGTGGGGGCGCTGCACTAAGGACCACTGAAGGAAACGACATGAAAACCTCTGAAGACACTGAGAGCAACTTCCTTCTTCACCAGATGGAAACAAGATGGAGGATTTTAGCGGTTGGAGGATTTCTCTCTAGTCTTTGGCTAAAGACCAGGAGACATTTCTGCTGCTAGCGCTAGGCTAGCACGTTAGCTTCGGTTGTATTTACCCAGAATGCCCTATGCTATAGTCCACTTCCTGCTTTTGGAGCGGTCTCCGGTCCGCTTGGTGCTCATATTTACCAAACCAGAGTTCACTTCAATCGAACCCAGACCGAGGTTTGGAGAACCAAAGATCAGAGGTCATTTAGCATTCACACCTCACCAACCGTATAGCAAGAGTGAGGAGTCGGGTTACAGCGGAGCGGAGTCGGGTTACTGCGGAGCGGAGTCGGGTTACAGTGGACTCAACAGGGCTGGTGGTGATGATGCAGCCTTAGTCATTCCTTGGAGAAATGTCTGAGATTTAAAGTGATGATCTTTCCACAGCATTTATGCGGTTATTACAGCCATCGTGTATCTAACCTGGAAGTTGGTGACAACAGAAAGAGGTCGGTACAACGAGGATCTGCCATTTCACTGGGATTGAATAAAACCACTTCAGCTTCCAGTTTGTTAAAATTCAAGATGTTTTAAATTTCCTCAAGACAGTTGAGAAGAGCCTGAATGGGGAGAGCATCTGGCTGCTGAAGGAGGACTGCATCTGACAGTCATCAACATATTATGGGAGCTCTGTGTTTCCTTCAAATAACTCCCAGTAGCAGAAGGTGCAAGGACTTTACTAACCCTCCCTGACAGGCTCCCACCTGAGGATCCTTTGGCTCTTCAGCAGGTTCTGCAGGCCCAGCAGGCCCTCCTTCCTCTCGGACCAGTTGGAGCTGGCGCAGTGGTTCAACACCTCAGCCACGTCCTCCGTTTGCCGCAGGTAGTGGGGGATGCCTCCGTTCCTGGAGCTGTAGGAGCGCTCTGAGCAGGCGCTGGACGCGTCGCTGTTGGCGTCATCATCAGAGTACATCCCAGGAGACTCGTAGCGCCGCCGCAATGGCTTCCTCTGCAGCGGAGAGGGAAACGTTCATGCAGCGTCATGCAGGAATGAGAGCTCAGCGACCAGGGATGGAGGTTAAGACACATGCAGAGCTTTGATGTGATTCAGTCCTGATCTGTGAAACAATCTGTTTTCAACTCAGAGGCAGGCGAGCAGTGCCGCGAGGCTCTGGAGCAGAAACGAGACAGAAACCGGAGGAAGTAAAGGAGGCAGTGAGACAGACAGGCTGGCGATGGAGTGAACACAGACAGCGGGACGCATCTGTCTACCTTGTTCCTGGAGTCTCCCAGCAGCTGCAAGCAACACGCCAGAAGGAAGAGGAGCACAAACCCAAACTGTCAAGGACCTTTTCTCCAACTTTCTCCCGCTGTTCTGAAGGATTGTGGCGTGGAAGCAGGAAGTCACTCACCAGAGCGTCGGCCACAGCCGCCTCCACCTCGGTGCCGGTGTTCAGGACCCGCATGGCGTTCACCGACGCAGAAATCCTGGCTTGGTGGATCAGACCGTACCGATCTACAAAAACAAGACGGACCGCCGATTAATGAAGGGAACCGGCTACCTGAGACTTACCTTCTTCTTCTTTGGTTTAATCATCAGCGCACAACAAGCAGAGGAACTCAACAGAAGAAGAAGAAACAGAAACATGCACCAGATGTTCAGAGTCTCATTAAGGGATGAAAACTGAAACAGTCAGGCTGAAAACACAAGGAACAGAAAAACGTCACTTTCTGTGTGAAATGTGGATTGGAACCAGAACCTTCCTGGAACCAAAACTACATGTTTTCCATGACAACTAAAGAAAAACCTGCCATGCTGGAGTAAAGACTGAAATCTGATGGGTTCTGGCTGCAGCCATGAGGAACGACAACAGAAGCAGACTGGTGGACCACTCCAGCTCACGCTGGGAGGACTGGGAACATGCAGGTCACCTGACTGGCCGTGGGGTTCTGCTGAGGACAGAGCGCTGGTGGAACGGGAGTGGCGTCTGGAGGCTGCGAGAGAACCAGGAAGTCACTACTGGATCAGAACTACTGGGTCCAGTTTGCCCAGTTGGCCTCTGGGCTAAATATGACGGCAGAGGACCAGGCCCCAGAGCCACTCACATTTAACCTTTGACCCTCCGGTCCTCAGTGACCAGCACAACTACTACAGACACATCCAGACCATCTTCAGTAGCTCCTCTAAACCCAGACACTCAGCATCAGGAAACAGGAAGTAGGTGGAGTCATGGTAAAAAAAGCTACTGCAGCTTTTATTTCTAAGGTTTTACTCAGACAAGACAGCCTGCTCCACTGGAAGCCCACATCATCACTCCTCCACCACCGTGCCTCACTGATTGCTGGGTCTGGTTCTGGTCCAGCATCACAGAAGTCTCTGCTCCGCTAACCTCGGTCCGGCGGCCATGTTGGTTCTAGAGAAGAGGTTTTCTCCAGGAACCCTCCCAAGGCCCTCTGGTTCAGAGTCATGACCTTTGACCTGCTAACTCAGCCTGAGATGGAGCTGTGACCTTGAGATGTTTTCCTCTTGGGAATAATAACCTTTTTTAATGTTTTAATTTTATTATTTTCTTTAATTCCAATTGAAAATTTTAAATGTAATAATTTATATTAAAAAAAAATAAATTAAAATGTAATTTTCATTAATTTTGTTTTAGACTTTTTTTCTTATATAATTTTTTATTGTAATTTATCATTATTATTACATTGGGAATAATGTTTATAGAACGGATTCCAGTCGGTGTGGGGATGACCTTTGACCCTTCCCAGGCTGATGAAGGTGATGAGCGGAGCTAAAAGCAGCAGCATGGAGCCTTCCAGCCACAGCTTCTGGTTGTGTTTTAATCCATTCAACAGTAGAGTCAGTTTGCTGCTGATTGACCAGGATTCGTTCTAAGTAAAACGTTGGAAAGGCAGCAGCGACCCTGAGGAACCAGGCCGTACTCACCCAGAGGAGCGAAGCCCCGAGCGGGGCTGGTGTCGCGGCTGCTCTCGCGACTGGTGTCGCGGCTGCAGCCCTGACTCATGCTGGGGCGCGGGATGCGGCTCCGGGCTAGCGTGCAGTGGGGGACAGCAGCAGAAGAAGAAGAGCATTAGCACGCAGGCTAGCTGTCAGGACAACTGCTTAGCTGAAAACATCAGGCAGGAGAGAAACGGGAAGGAAATAGAGAAGGAAACACTGGTTCTGGACGGCCACCAGAGGCCCAGACACACAGAACCAGGAAACAGAACCTGCTCCAGGAGGTAACTCCACATAAGAAGGTGCTAAACTGTTGATGTGAGCAGAGAAGCTAACAGGAAACTCCTGTTAGAGAACAGATGGTTCCTCTGAGCTGCAGCAGAGGAACCCAAACACTCTGATTGGTTTATCATCAAACATCTGCTGATAGACGGAGGACTGGAGAGGAGAGTAGAAGGGCAGTGCGACTTAAAACAGTAGAAGAAGAAACAAAGTCTATCTGCTGCTGCAGACGAGAGAAAATCTTTTCTTTTTTTTTTCATCTTCATTGACGACAAATTTCACTCATCCAACCAGACAGAAATGGACCAGGCTGGACCGGGTCAGTACCAGGGCTTTAAAAAGGTTCTAAAAATGTCCTGCAGCTTAAGAGCTGGTGAGACAGGTGGATGGATGGATGGATGGTTGGGTGGATGGATGGATGGATGGTTGGGTGGATGGATGGATGGATGGTTGGGTGGATGGATGGATGGATGGATGGATGGTTGGATG